AAACGAAGGCGAACGGTGGCATCATTGCCACTCTGGACAAGCTGGAGAGAATAGCCGCGCTGCCACCATGTCTGCCCAGGGGCGAGCCATTGCGAGGCCACAGAGGCCGAGGGTCCGAGGAAGGTCCCCAGGTACTTGGCTCGCCCCGAAACCGAAAAGCCCCCCCGGGAGGGGCAGAAGTCGGTCAGGGGGAATCTCGTTAGAGCGATGGTGGCAGGCGTTGTCTTCGCCCAAAGCGGGACGACGACGCACTTACGAGGCTTGAGCGCGAGGGGCGCGAGCTCCTCGGCAGCGCAAAAGGGCTCAGATGCGCGGCGCAGCGTGTCGAATGAGAACGCGAGGAGGCCAGCGTCGTCCGCGCACGCGCCGAGGTAGCCCTTGTCGTAGTCAGGAGTGCCATCGGCCGTCTCGACGAACGAAGCGAGGTGGCGCACGAGCGGGTCCATTGCGATCGCCCATGCTGAGCCGCTCGCAGGGCAGCCCTGCGCCGCGCCAGACTCGATCGGGAACGTGAAGTGACGGACGCCGTCGATATTGAGGAAGCTGTTCGGGGCGTGGTGCAGCTGGCGGAAGAGACTGAGCAGCCCCCGGGAACGCCGAATCGCCCCGGGGATGCAAAGAGCCAGGCCCGTCCGAGCGACGGGAACGCCGCTGCGAAGTCGAAGCTGGCGAAGACGGGTTTGTGCAGCTCGGCGCCAGGGCGCGCCCCGGCACGGCGCGTCTCCGCGTCTAGGTTGACGATGTGCCTGGTGAACTTGCGGCTGGCGACGAAGCCCTGCTGCGCGCAATGCGTCCGCTCTGCCACAACGGACTTGATGGGGAATTTGGCAGCGCCCGCGATGGCCTTGACATCCGTGTTCTTGACGGAGAGCGGGCGGATGTTATCTGGCATGCGGTCCGTCGTGAGCTCGCCCGCGAGGTCGTCGCCCTCTGGGAGGAAGGAAACGTCGGAGTCATTCAGATCGTGGGCCAAGTCAGCGCTGGAGCAGAGATGCCAATCGAGGTCCTCGAGCAAGTCCAAGGACGCGTCGACGGCGAGCCAGGCGCGGTGCGGCGAGAGGTCGGGCCCAGGCGCAGACGGCGCAGCGCGCTGCAAGAAGCCGCGGATCTTCGCCTTGGTGGCGCGCCAACGTCGATGGTGGGAAAGATCGGCACGTGCGAGGCGATGCACTGCTTGACCTTCGTTCCGTCGACCTGCTTGCGCTCGAAGACAGGGCGCGAGTGGTCGCGAAGTGCGTCCACCGTCGCACAACTCTCTCTGGCCACCGTCGGGGGGCCCGAAGGGTCGGTGGCTTTCATGCCCTGGAAGACGAGACGGCGCTTCCAGGGGACCCAAAGGAGGTCTCTGCGCTAGGACGCGCGGGTGACTTTTCGGAGCTTCCCAGGCTCGATGGCCCGAGGCGGGCCCCGCGGCAACTGGGCTGCTCTCTGTGCACGGGAGCGCTGCCGAGCCTCGAAGTCGCTGTGCAGAGCGGAGGACTTCATGGCGAACTCGGCGGCGTCCGAGAGCGCGATGACGCCGTCGTCCAGAACGAGGTCCTTTGAGCCGAGCTCGGTGGTGGACTGCAGACGGCGTGCCAGATGGATGTCCTGGCGCCAGATCGCTCACGAGATCGAGCGTGCCGTGATCACCCGGCCGTCGGAGTGGTTTGTCTTGCCGATCTCTCCAGCTGCACGGCTGACTCAATCATCGCGAATAGTGCGGGCAGCCTCAACCATGAGACGCTCGTGCGTGCGCCAGCGGATCGCGATCGGCAGGCGGGTCGCGACGGCGTGGTCGAGCATCTGTTGGAGGTGCTTGGCGAACGAGGGGTCGCGGAATATGGGTGGGGGGATGGCCTCCGCCACTGTTGGTGTCCTCGGCTCGATACCGATGGTGTAGAAAACGATGGCGTGGTCGCTGAGGCGGTCCGAGAGGATGGCAGGGTCGCGGGCGACGCGCATGACCGGCGTTAGTTCAAGCATGGCGCGCGACGGCAGGCTGATGAAGACACGGTCGATGGCTGACGCGGTGAAGTCGGACTTGTTGAAACACCTTGGTAGGTCGGACTCGATCTCAAGCACGCTGTCAAACAGGGCCTTCCAAAACGGCTGTTGCTGCCGAGCGCTGTTGTCCAGCGCGAGGTGGGCGCGCTGCGGCTGCGGCTGGAAGAAGCTGTTCGGCGGGCGGCTAGCAGTGTTGAAGTCGCCCAGGGCAAGAAAGGCGCGGTGCAGGTAGCTGGCTTCCGCCCGCGCGCGGCGGCGGTGCCGGGCACGTTGGTGCGATCGCGACCCCTGGCCTCGATCTCTTGATTATGAACGTTCATGATGACGATGGCGTTGCGGGTGACTGCGGTAGTGACGGCGAAGATCTGGACGGCAGAGCTGCTTGTTTGCGACGGCGCTCAAGGCGCTCGTGGCACATGTGCGCGCGAGCGTTCCAAGTGATAAACGAGCAGGGCACGTTTGTCCTCGACTGGCTTCCACGGTGCCCAGGGGTGGCTAAACCCGCCACGTGGCCTCATGTCCGCGAAGAGCGCCTGGCAAGAAGTGAGGGCGGCACCGCGATCGATGTCGCGGAAGTGAGCGAGCTCGAAGGCCTTCTCGTTCCACTTCTTGGCCCTTGACGCCCAGGCGCGCGACGGCCATGGCGTTGCAGTGGATCTCGCCGTTGGTGCGGTATGCGTTCCCGACCTTTTGCAGATAGCGATGCTGAATAAGTTGGAGGAGCTTCTTGCGCTGGATCTCGGCGCGGATCTGATTGGGGGCTTTGTCGGGCTCGAGGCAGATGTCAGTCGGCGCGCCCGCGGTGTCCGTCGATGTGAATCGCGCCCACTTTCCTGCAGCGTCGCGAAGGGCTCGAGAGAGAGCCAGGGCCCGAGGAACTGCGAGGGCGCGATCTCCTTTGACTTGCAGAGTGAGGCGGCGAGCAGGCTCATCTCCATATAGCCCGACGGCGTCCGCGTCCAGGCTGGCGGACGCAATCCACTCCTGCAGGTCGTTTGGGGGGGCCGGCCAGGCGCGATGAGGCGTTGGGCTCCGATGGTGAAGATCGTCGGGTCGATCGCGCGGTCCCAGTCGGCGAGCCTGGTGAGGTCCGTGATCGGCGCCTGGGCCTCGGCGAGTGCGGGCGTCTCGCGCATCTGGTCGATATGCTGCCACATCTTTTGCTGGTCTGCAGCTTGTCTGTCCTCTTCGCGGCGGGTTCTAGCAACAACATTATGAAGGGAGTCGATTCGGCGTTCAGTGGCTTGAACTTGCTGTGCGAGAAGTTGCTGGAAGCTTTTTCTGTATTGATTAAGTAACTGATTGGCTTGCGCTTGGAAGGTGCTTGCTGCATGTGCGACTTGTGCTTGCATGTGTTCTTGTAGTGCTTTGTCTAGGTCAGGGTCCAGTCCAGGGAGACGAACGAGCTCAGGCGCAGGTGGTGTGGCGTGGTCGGCTTCAGCATGATGCGCGGCGGTGGCTCCGACGGCGTCGGCTCCTCCGGCGGTTGGAAGTAGACCATGGCCGTGTGCTGCGGCAGCATGAGCATGTGTGGCTGCGCTTCCTTTGCGCCGAGGATCGGCTGCTCCTGCCAATGGATCGGGGCGAGATGCTGCAGCTCGCTGCTGTGCATGAGGTTCAGTCCAGACGCCATCTCGGTATTGCTGAGGAGAAGCGTCGGCGGCAGCGCGAGGCGAACGTGCGGTTCTTCTTCTCCAGTGTCCAGGGCGAAGGTGGGCGTCTGCTGCGTCTGGCGGGCTGAGAATCTGCCTGCTCGCGCAGCTCGTCCCGATGCTCTCCCCGAGCGTGATTCTGCTGGCTGCGAGGAGAAGCCGTTGTCCCCGTAGGTTGCCAATGTATTGCGGGCGGCGGATGCACGGGAGCCTTTATCTTCGCGTTCATGGGGACCCCTTTCTTTCTCGGCGACGGTCTTTTCTTCGGCGGCTAGCTGAGGGGGCACTGCGTGCAGTGGAGCGCTTTTCACTGGAGGACATGGTTGCAAATCGACGGGCACGGAGCTGTTCTGTGCTGCACCACTTACCAATCTGAATCCGATGCCACTGCGTGGCTGCTGCTGCTGCTGCTGCAGGGGAACGAAAACGACGACGTCCAGCGGGATATGGAAGCGGGGATCGGCGACAGGAAGCTCAGGAACGGAGTAGGGGAATGCTGGGATATGGGTGCCCGGCACGGGGCGCGAGACGATATGGATGCTCGGCACGAAGCTCACGAGGCACACAGCAGTACGAACAGCGGCCTGCAACGCCGGGATCTAACGCAGGAGTGGACGGCAGCTCGTCCCTGGGTGTGGCTGCAAGAAAGTTGGGGCTGGCCGCGGACTAGCGGTATCCACGCAGGGCTCGCGATGGCGTGCCATCTTGAGCCACAATGGCTACACTGGAGGAGGGAGGAGGAGGAGGAGGAGGAGGGGGAGGAGGAGGAGGAGGAGGAGGAGGAGGAGGAGGAGGAGGAAGAGAAGGAGGGAGGAGGAGGAGGAGGAGGAGGAGGAAGAAGGAGGAAGAGGAGGACGGGTCGCCTACGCCCTGCGAAGAAACCCTCCAGTCTTCTGGCCCTCACCAGGCTGTCTTCGGTGACTTCTTGGCTTGTATTGGAGGCGTTTGGGGTCAGCCCATGAGGCAAACCTCATCGAACATCCACATGTCTTTACCAACCCTCCCGTGCCGGGTTTTCGTTTTGCATACAGCACTGTGGCTCAAACATTCCCCTCCTCCTCCTCCTCCTCCTCCTCCTCCTCCTCCCCGCCTCCCTCCCTCTGCCTCCGTTCTTCCTGCCTCGTACTTGCGCCATTCGCGCTGCCAGTGGGCCCCAAGACAGGCCCAAGGCCCCCGAGACCACAGGAGCCTGCCGCCGAAAGCCTGGCAGCGGCCCGCCTGGCATCTTTGTTTTCGCCAGCAATAAGCACGGACGCTCCGAGGCAGATGCGCCACGGCAGGACGAGCCGAAAGCGAACTGCGCCCAACATGGAGGAGGGTCCTCCTGCACAGAAGAGAACGGAACCCTTTTGGTAGGAAAGCCCGTCCGGGGAACAGCAGCTCCTCGTCGCGCAGGGGGTCTTTTCAGACGGCACGCTGGTGCTGCCACTGGCGTGCCACAACTTTCTGCTGTAAGGCAGCGCGGTGGTGGTGAGCCAAGCCCCGCTTCTGATTTTGATGACTCGCGCCACCCGGCCAACCTTAACTGCCTCCACGTGGTTGCCGCTGGAGCTTTTTCCGCATGCACAGTCGGGTCTGATTGGAGAGGACACGCGAGAGGACTCAAGACCCTCCCGAGGGCCACACTGCCATAGGAATGCAGAAAGCACGGGTCGCGAAACACAGGGGAGGAGGGCACACTTGACTTGGCAGGGTCGACCTAATAATCAGACTCGACCGTGCTTCCATGTGCTGCGGCTCGTTTCGAACTGATCCCATGTGCGCGCAAGAGGGGTTGCTCGACGTCGGCGCCGTTCGTGGAAGCGGCAGGGGGGGGGAGAAGGACGAGGAGGAGGGGCGGAGGAGGAAGAGGAGGAGGTGCCGGAGGAGGAGAAAGAGAACGAGGAAGCGGAGGAGGAGGAGGAGGAGGAGGAGGAGGAGGAGGCGGAGGAGGAGGAGGAGGAGGAGGGAGGAGGAAGAGGAGGAGGGGGGCGAAGAGCACGGGTCCTGGGGAGGGCCGCACTTCGACCCGGATCGGCGCGTCCCCCCATGACCGCCGGCATTTGTAGGGCGGCGCTGGCGTGTATCTGCGTGCTGCCATTCACCTCAGGCTGCCTTCACATTTAGACGCCAATCGAAGGCTGGCCAACCCGTGGCTGCTTAAACGGAGCTCCGGGAAATTAATTTTCTTCTGGGAAGCAGCCCGTTTACTATTTGATGCGCTGTGTTTTTTTCCGGGCCTTTGTATGTTTTCTTCCGGGAAGGCCGTTTTAGCAGCCACGGATTTGCCAGCCCTCGCCGAGCTTCCGACACATGCTTCCGCGTGCTGCATTTCTGCCCCAACCCAACTTGCTTGACTGTTCGGGGTCCACTTGAAAACCCGACTGCTGTCCACAAGCAGCGTTCTGGGTAGGTCTCACAGAGTCATCGCAGATCCAAAAAAGGCAGCTACACACCACCACCATCCTGGGTCCAGGCAACAAAGTATGTAGACCCTGTGGTTCGGGGCCACGGGAGTCTGCACGGGAACTGCCTTCTGCAATGGCCACCGGGCAAGCCCTCACGGAGACAAGAACGCCTCGAACGCATCCGCATCATGCTCTCTGAACGAGGCCAGGGCGCACCGCAACGCCTCGAAGGTGGGCCTCCGTTCGGCATCATGGTGCCAACACGCCCGCATCAGCCTCAACATCTGCTCGGGCACGTCATCGCAACCGATGTCGGGCCTTACGCCCGCAAGGACCGCCGACTCCACCTGTGCGTTGGAATCGGAGAATGGGGGGTAAGATCGCAGTGAAACGGAGACCCCCCACCGGGAAATCGGTTTCGGTTTCGTGTTCGTGTCGTGCGTGCGGGCGAGGCGAAGCTGCGCGTGATCCTCCTGTAGCTAGGCCGAAGTAGAAGCGAAAGTCCGTTCCCGTCCGACGGTGGCTGGGAGGTGTCCCAGCTGGACCGGGTGTCAGTAGGAACGAAAGTCCGTTTCCCGTCCGCCAGTGGCCGGGAGGTGTCCCAGTTGGGCCAAGCGGTGTCCTGGGTGTCCCGGGCGTCCCGGCGCTGACGCATGCCGCTAATTTCATAATTCATTTTTTTGTCGGCGCCTGCGGCGGGCTTCGTTATCCAATTCAGCTTATCTGATCCAATTCCATCTTGCCCAATCCAATTCAATCAATCTTATCGTATCCAACCCATATTGACCCATCTTATCTTATCCCCCCCAATCCGATCCACCCAACCCAATCCATCAATTCATTTGTTTCTGCGCCTGCGGCGGGCCAATCCAATTCATCATATCGTATCTAATCCATTTCTTCCTGTCCAACCCATCTTATCTTATCAAATCCATCTTATTCCATCCAATCCAATCCACCCAACCCAATCCATCAATTAATTTTTGTCGGCGCCTGCGGCGGGCTTTCTTATCAAATCCAGCTTATCTTATCCAATCCATCTTGTCCAATCCAATCAATCTGATCTTATCCAACCCATATTGTCCAATCTTATCTTATCCCACCCAATCCAATCCATCCAACCCAATCCATCAAGTCATTTGTTTCTGCTCCTGCGGCGGGCCAATCCAATCCAGACAGAGAGAGAGAGAGAGAGAGACAGGGCGAGAGAGAGAGAGACACAGAGAGTGAGACAGAGAGGGAGGAGAGACAGAGACAGAGCGAGATGAGATCAAGGTGACAGGCTGGACGTCAGTCAGGGTGGGCATTTGATCTCAATCCCCCCCCCCAACCTCCTTATCGCCCGCAGGGCGGTCGTATAGGTAGAAGGCACGTGCATGTGTCGGAGGCGACGGGGCGAGATCGCAGTGAAACGGAAAGCCCCCAAGCGGGAATGCGGTTTCGGTTTCGTGTTCATGTAGCGTGTGCGGGCGAGGCGAAGCTGCGTGGGCGGGCGAAAAGAAAGAAGCCTCCTCTGGCTAGGGCGCTGCCGGGCCAAAAAACCGTCCCCCACCGGCTTCTCCGGCGGTGGCCAGGGGTGTCCCGCGGGTGCCCCGCCAGTGCTCCGTCGGTGACCCGTCGGTGTCCCATCGGTGTCCCCTCGGTGTCCTACGGGTGTCCCGTCGGTGTCCCATCAGTGCCCCATCGGTGTCCCCTCGGTGTCCCGTAGTGAGGTCGATAGTGATACCGATGGTGAAACCGATAGTGAGAACGATCGTGAGATCGATCGTGAGATCGATAATGAGATCGATCGTGGAAACGATCGTGAGAATGCGTGGGATGGAAGGTGAGATTGAAAGTGGGAGGGATTGTGGGATCGCTTGTGAATTCGATAATGAAATCGATAACGACATGAAGTGTGATAGCCATACTGAGATCGACTTGATATCGATTGTGAAATCGATGGTGGTATCGATAGCGAAACCGATCGTGAGTTCGATAATGGGACCAACCGTGAGATCGATAATGAGATCAATAACTAATTCGATTGAGAGATCGATCGAGTGGGACGTCGGTTCCTCCCCCGAACCTCATTATCACCCGGATGGTGGACGTATACTATGTCATATGTGCGCTTTCCCAAGCAACGTTGGCTCTATGGCGCTGCTACTTGTCATCCAATTGGTGAGATGTTCCAGGATTGCCGCCTGGTTGAAGCCTCTTGGGCGCCCCGTATAGGTTCCCGATTGTGTTCAAAAACATCGCCTTGTGGGCCAACCCCCCGTGCGGTGGCTGGCGTTTCCAGAACTTCAGCGCAATAGCCGCGTGACCGACCGTGTCTGTGGCCACCTCTGGGCGCCGTGTGGGCGCCACGTAGTTTGCACCAAATGTTTTTTGCCACGTACAGCGCACACCGCATAACATATTCGGCATGGCGCGCTAGTCGACTGAGGACACATTGCTTGATCACGTAGCCTACATCACATAGTTTGCGCCACGTGGCTCACACCACCTATATTGGTCCATGTGGATTACACCACGTAGGTTGAACAACATGGTGTCATGTCTGCAAAAGACTGTCAAAAAAACACGCCAAACGTGCGATTTCAGGCAACAGTTTCGGGCAACCTGCGGCGGGGCGCCGGCAAAACAGAAACGCGTCGCGGCGGCACTGGTGATCAGAGCCAGCGACCAGCCGCCGGCTGGACGGCGATACGATGCCAGCAGCGCTGTTTCAGCGCCGGGAAGCTGCAAAGGGCAGCGCGCGCTGCAGGGCTCGCGAACAACATCGTTGGGGACAACGCGTGTATTCGCATGGGCAGCGTTCGCCTATGTATTGCGCAGTACAGCGCAGCCCTGCTCGTGCCCAGAAGCGGGGCGTCGTTCACTGCAGGGCAACGATAGGGGGGGACTGGCATAGGGGGGGTGCATCGACCTGGAATCGGCGGTACATCGCCGATAGATTGGCGATAGGCCCCCGATAGTGAATCCGAACCTTCCTGTGCACCCCCATCTGCGATCTATGGGCGATTGGGGGTCGACGCATCCCCCCCAATAACTATCCACAACTATCGTTGCCCCTGGTTCATCCTGTTCGCGATCATATATGGCGCGGTCGCTTGCCGACCCCGGCGCGCGCAATTCAATTTACCCTGCGACGTGCCCAAACAATTTGCCCAAGTGACCAGATGAATCGACCAAAACTGTCATGGATGATGTGCGTATGACATGGACACCCTTGGACAGACACGGAGCGAGGCTCCAGGTTTGATGGGGAATGGAATGGGAGCGGGAAGGAAAAAACTGAATGAACATGGCGGGGGCGACAATAACAAGTCAACGCGGCAACAACAATAGGAGGGGGACGGAGAAAAGGGACGACGACGAAGGAGGACGAACGAGGAAGGAATGTGACGATTTTCATGTGGATGGTTGATGGGTAACGACGCCGATGCCGTCCCCATCCCGCATTGGCGCCCCGAGCGGTGATTTGCTCAAGATCCGCGCGGGAAGCGAACGACTTCTCTCGAATACCAGCTTCGCCGCTTCTGTCCTGCATCCTTCAGCGCATGAGCCAAATGCCCGCAAAAAGCGCCTCCGTCTGCGGGCACGTATCATGGGAAGGTTACTGATATTCGAACCTCTGGAGAGCATCACGTCCCGCTCTGCTGTGGTTGAGATGTCAATCCTCGGAACGGGCGAATACTTTGCAATTCGCAGCCCGCCAGACATGGCGAGATCGAATCTGAGTCCCCGTAGGACGTGCCTCTGCAAGACCCCCCAGCAGCCCTCGATAATTGCGTCTGTTTCGCTGTGAGCTGCGAGAAAGGTGCGGCGAAGTCCCGCCCTGATCTGCGTAAGCCGTAGCTCCGCTGGGCCCACCACCAGTCCTCAAAAGCGGCGACAGCTTCGCAGCTCGCAGCCCCGAGAAGGACGGTGAGGTCCCGCTCTTGTCTGCACAAGACGTCAATCAGCTGGGCGCCCCCAGCAGCCCTTGAGCGCGGCGACAGCTTCGCAATGCGCAGCCCCCCAGGGACGTCGAGGTCCCCTTCCGATCTGCGTAAGGCGTCACTCCGCTGGACCCCCCAGCAGCCATCGGACATTGCGTCAATTTCGCAGCTCGCAACACCTTGGGGGCGGCGAGGTCGCGCTGTTGTCTGCGTGAGACCTTCAGACCTGGGCATTGCAATTTTCCCAACCATCCTGTGGTGCTTGGTCTTTGTTTTGACGAGACGGTGCCCCGCGTCCTCCTCCTCCTCTCCTCCTCCTCCTCCCTCCTCCCGTCACTCCCGTCAATTGGGCACACCCGTTCACACGTTTCGTGGCCCCATAGGGAGCTCCACGCAAGGCCCCAACGGCTGCGTTCACGTGTCGCCACCTGTCCACGTGGGCCCGCCCCTCACACTCCACCGAATGCCCCAGTGGCTGCGTGCACATGCCGCCTCCTGTCCACTTTGGCCCACCCCTCACGTTTCGTGGCCCAAGAGAGAGCTCCACACAAGGCCCCAGTGGCTGCGTTGACATGTCGCCACCTGTCCACGTTGGCACACCCCTCGCGCGCTTCGTGGCCCCATAGGGACCTCTACCCAAGGCCCCCGTGGCTGCGTTCACATGCCGCCTCCTGTCCACTGTGGCGCACAGCTCCCACGTTTCGTGGCCCCATAGGGAGCTCCACCGAAGGCCTCAGTGGCTGCGTTCACATGTCGCCACCTTTCCACGTTGGCACACCCTTCGCACGCTTCGTGGCCCCATAGGGACCTCTACCCAGGGCCCCTGTGGCTGCGTTCGCATGCCGCCTCCTGCCCACTTTGGCCCACAACTCCCACGCTTCGTGGCCCCATAGGGACCTCTACCCAAGGCCCCCGTGGCTGCGTTCACATGCCGCCTCCTGTCCACTTTGGCGCACCCCTCACACGTTATGGTCCCAGTGGCTGCGTTCGCATGCCGCCCCCCCCCACCCCCTCCACTTTGGCACACCCTTCACACACTTCGTGGCCCCATAGTGAACTCCACCGTAGGCCCCATTGGCAGGGTCCGCATGCATTTCCCCCAGCCAGTGCAGCGTTTCGCGGCCCCGAAGGCCCCAGTGGCAGTGTCCGCATGCGTTTCCCCCACCCAGTACAGCGCATCGTGGACCCATAAAGAGCTCCACCGAAGGCCCTGGTGGCAGTGTCCGCAAGCGCTTCCCCCACCCAATACAACGCTTCGTGGCCACATAGGGAGCTCCACCAGAGGCCCCAGTGGCATGGTTCGCATGCGTTCCCCCACCCAGTGCAGCGTTTCGTGGCCCCATAGGGAGCTCCACCGAATGCCCCAGTGGCGGTGTCCGCATGCGTTTCCCACATCCAGAACAAGGCTTCGTGACTCCATAGGGAGCTCCACCGAAGGCACACGTGGCGGTGTCCGCATGCATTTCTTCCACCCAGCAAAACGCTCGTGTCCCCATAGTGAGCTCCACCGAAGGCACCAATGGCGGCGTTCGCATGCGTCTCCCCACCCAATGCAACGCTTCGTGGCTCCATAAGGAGCTCCACCACAGGCCTCAGCGGCGGTGTTCGCCTGCATCTCCCCCACTCAGTACAACGCTTCGCGGCCCCAACGGGAGCTCCAACGAAGGCCACAGTGGCTGCGTTCGCATGCCGCCTCCCCTCCATATTGGCACACACCTTACACGCTTCGTGGCCCCATACGGAGCTCCACCGAAGGCCCCATTGGCGACGTTCGCATGGCGGCCCCGCTCAATTTCGGCACACCCCTCACACGCTTCGTGGCCCCATTTAGAGCGCCACCGACGGCCAAAAAGACTGCGCCTGCATGCGTCCCCGCCTCATTTCGGCACACCCGTCACAAGCTGCGTGGCCCCACAAAGAGATCCACCGAGGGCGATACCCACAACGGCATATGGTTGGGCCCTTTACCTGGAGAATTTCACACCTGGCGTTTTCGCCCGATTTCGGGCCCCTGGACACTCACAGATCGATCCGGCTCCTACAATAACGTACAAAGATGTGGTCTGGGGTTCGGGTCGTGATTTTGGCGATGCTGCAATTTCTTGGAACCGTCGGAGCTCAGGGGACGTCACCCCAGTGGACCCCCCCCAACAACCCTTCAAGGTGACGACGGTTCCGCAGTTCGCAGCCTCCCAAGGGCGGCGAGGTCCCGTTCCGATCCGCCAACCCAGGTTTCCACGAAAGCGGCGACAGGTTTCGCAGTGCGCGGCCCACCAGCGAGACCCCAGGCAGGACGGCAAAGGATGCATGGGCATTGGGCGAGTAGGAGATGCAGCACCTGCAGGCGGGAGAAGAGAGAGGGAGAGAGGCGGGAAGAAGCAAGAACGGAGACAGCAGGGCTCTATTCAAAACGAGAGCCCGATGCAGGATGGTTGGTGAACCTAGTTTCGAACCTCGCAGGGTACGCCACGTAGTTTAGACCGCCTAGTTTACACGACATAGCTTGCATCATATGACTTTCACCAGATAGCTTCCACAACGCGTAGCTTACAACACATACCTTGCTACCTTGCACGTCCAGTATACGAGCTCACTATTCGGTGCCTATGCTGGCAGACATCTCGGTGCATATTTCCTTCAATGGTAGTCAGCGCGGGCCCCCAACAATGTCGTCTTGCAATATACGCGGCGCAACCTATGTTGTCAATCAATAGATTACAATCTAGGTGGTGTAACCCATGTTGTGCAATCTATGTGGTGCAAATCGATGCAAAGCAATGCACAATAACGCACATCAGTGCAAACCAATGCAAAGCGATGCCAAGCGATGCAATGCGATACGAGGCTATGCAAAGCAATGCAGACAATGCAAAGCAATGCAATACGATGCAAGGCAGTGCAGGCGAATGCAAATCAGTGCTGTGTAAGGCGACGCAAAGCAGTGCAACACAATGCACCTTCATGCAAAGCAACGCCATGCAACTCAATCAATGCGAACGCGGGGCTGCAACGGGGTGGCGGTGGGGGTGCAACGGGGCGACGGCGACAGACGGGAACGGGGCCACCGGGCCAACACACGGGCCCTTTTTTGAAAGAGCAACTGGCGACGGACGGGAACAGGGCCACTGGGCCAACAGAGGCGCCCAGTTCCTCAGAAGAGAGACAACATGGAAAGTGCAAACGCTGCTCGGGGAATCGATTGCTAGTGGTCCGGAGCCCTGCGAGCCCCGCCACCCTCCGAAATGGGACCCTCCAGATCCCCGGAACGGGGGCTTCCTGGACCCCCTGCAGAGGGTCCGCTGGGACTTCTGGGCCTCCTGGGCGTCTCTGCGAGGCCGCGCCAGCGAGCCCAAAGCGGTCAGGAGGGCGCACACACGGCCCCAAGAGAGTTCCGAGCGGCCCCACACACTCACCAGACACCCGACGATGGCCCAAAGAACACCCCCAAGAGTCCCTCGGAAGGATCAGACAACAATTACCTACGAGGTACACATGCCCATTTGCATCGAGTGAGAGGAGCTGGCCCAAATTAGTACGAACGGTGATCACAAATGAACCGTAATTCCTTGTGCACGTTTCATGGGGTGCTCGCGCGCTGCACGACTCACAGGACATCAATAGAAGGACAAGGAGTGAGGCCCCAGGCTCGAAGAGGAAAAGGGCTGGAACTAGGGGCAGGAAAAGGACGAAAGGGGTGCCGAACAGTGAGTGCGGCATCAGCAGGGAGACGGTGGAAAAGGGGAGGGGGACTACAACGAAAAAGGCAGGATAAGAAAGAAATAACGACGCCTCCAAATTGCAGAACGCAGGCCCCCAGCGACGGCAAGGTCCCGCTCTGATCTGCGTAGGCCGTCACTCCGCTGACCCCCTCAGCAGCCGTCGAAACAAGCAACAATTTCGTCGTTCGCTGCCCCCCAACGATGGCGAGGTCCCGCTCTGATCTGCGTAAGACGTCAATCCGCTGGAACCCCCAACAACCCTCATAGATGGCGGCACATTCACAATTCGCAGCCCCCTCAGCGACGTCGAGTTCCCGCTCTGATCTGCGTAAGACGTCACTCCGCTGGATCCCCCAGCAACCCTCGAAAAAGCAGACAATCGTTCAACTCGCCGCCCCCCCCAGGGGCGGCGAGGTCACGCTCTGCTCTGCATGATAAGTCACTCCGCTGGAACTATCAGCAACCATCGAAAGCGGCAACCACTTCGCAATTCGCACTCCCCAGTGACGGCAATGTCCCGCTCTGATCTGCGTAAGGTCACTTCGCTGGAACCACCAGTGGCCGTTGAAAGCGAAAACAATTTCGCAATTCGCTGTCCCCGAAGATGGCGAGGTCCCGCTCTGATCTGCGTAAGACGTCACTCCGTTCGATCCCACAGCGACCCTCGAATGTGCCAACCATTCCGCAACTCGCAGCCCCTCACCAGCGACGGCAAGGTCCCGCTCTGATCTGCGCGAGAAGTCACTCCGCTGGACCTCCCAGCAGCCATCGAAAGTGGCGGCAACTTCACACATCGCAGTCTCCCAGAGATGGCGATGTCCTCCTCTTCTCTTTGTAAACCGTTGCTCCGCTGACCACCGAACATCCCTCGAATGTGGCGACAATTTCGCAGTTCGCTGCCGCACAGGGGGGGGGCAGCGAGGTCCCGCTCTGATGTGCGTAAGACGCCACTCCACTGGAACCACCAGCGGTCCTCGAAAGAGGCGACATTTTCGCAGATCGCAGTCCCCCAAGGATGGTGAGGTCAGCTGAGCCCCGTAGGCCCTCACTCGGCTGGACGTCCCAGCCGTCCTCGAAAGTGGCGACAGCTTGGCCGATCGCAGCTGGAAGGCCATCGGAGGGCATCTTGGAGCGCTCTGGGGCTGTCCAGGGGCCCTCTTGGAGCATCGTCGTCGCCATGTGGGCCGTCTGGGGGCGTCGTTGTGCCATTTGGAGGCTCCCGTTGCGCCCTGTGGGGCCGATCTGGGGCTCTCTTGAGGGTCTCTGGGGCCGTCTTGAGGCCCTCTTGGCGGGTGCTGGGGCCGTCTGGGGGCGATCTTGGCAGGCTCTGCGGCCGTCGGGGGCATGATCAAGACCAAGAGGGCGACAAAACGAAAATCCTACAAACACCTTAGGAAGTGTTAGGATCTCTGCCTGCGGGGACCCTCTTTTGGGGTCGTCTTGGAACCGTCTTGGGGCGTCTTGGGGGCCTCTTGGGGCGTCCGGAGACCATCGGCGGGCATCTTGGAGCGCTCTGGGCCTGTCCTGGGGCCGTCTTGGAGCATCGTCGCCGCCTTGTGGGCCGCCTGGGGGCGTCGTGGTGCCGTCTGGGGGCTCTCCGGGCGCCCTCGGGGGCCGATCTGGGGCTGCGCTGGCGCCTGCTGGACCAGGGATCCCCCTGAACCCCGCTTCGGCCCCGTCGGCACGCTCCGAGGGGCCCTACCTTACCCAAGCAGCGCTCGCGCTGAGAGCCTCCGCCTTCGCATGCCGACGCTCTGCGTGGGTCCCATACGGCGGCTCTTCCGCTCGTGGGCGCCCCGTGCCCGCCCCGTGAAGCGCTCGTGGGCGCCCCGTGCCCCAGGCGGGTCCGCCGATGTGTCTCGCGCCGCGGGCGCCCCCGTGCCCCCGGGGCGGGTGCGCCGGGGCCTCGCCCGGTGCGCGCCCGTGGGCGCCTCGTGGGCTCTCCGCGCCCTCGGGAGGCACAGCGGCTCAGAACGGCGTGTGGCTCACCCCCGCCATGCACCGCGGAGCTTTTTCGCCATGCAGCTCACCCTGGGCGGGTCGCGGCGCACATAGCTTGAAACAGCAGAGCTAACGCCACACATAGCTCGCACAGCATAGCTTGCACAACACAACTAACGCCACACAGGCTACTCCGCATGGCCTGCACCTCCGCAAGGCTCGGGGATCTTCTAACCCGGGTCAATCCAGACCCGGGTCAGCAGGAAACCAAAAACTGCAATGCAGGAAAACAAAAACTGCACCGCAGGTCTTCGCAAACCCGGGTCAGTCAATACGCGCGGCCGCCTCGCGGCCACGAGCGGCTCCCTAACCCGGGTCAGCCAGAGGGGGTCTTCGCAGGATCCTGCAGGATCTGGCGCCCTGGCTGACCCCTGTTTGCATTGACCCCCGTCTCGAGGCTCCCGAAAGGCAACAAGTCACCGTTTGAGGTCCACGCCGGCGGCTGCAAACATATGTACATGCTTCTAAACTGAGATTCTACATAAATTGGTCCGCCGTCGACTTACATGTTCGGTCGGCGTCCGCGGCACTCGGACACGCGAAGGCAGGAAACGTGACGGTTTCGGGCCCCTCAAGGGGCCGAAACTTCCCCCCCAACACGCCGACGGCAGACCCCCCCTGTGTTGGAAACTTTCCTGCCAGCCGCAACCTCATCGGGCTCGAACTCTACGAAGGGGGGCTCGAAGAAGAATATCTCGTACACCAACATCCCGTACGCGTACACGTCTACCTTCGAAGTGTAATTCTCACCTCCCAGCAGGAGCTCTGGCGACATCCACTGCACGGAGCCGATGCGGCTGGTGAGCCTGCTGACGGCCGTGTACCTGCGCGGCGTGCAGGCGACCACGACCACATGAAGGACACATCAATGATGATTTCTTTCACCAGCCTCGAACTTACCTCTATCCCTAAGATTGGCACGCCAAAAGGCGATGACAATCTTGGGGATGCGCCCTGAAAAACGAAGGGAATCCCTAAGATTGCCATCGTGATGAGGCGATGCCCAACATGGGGATAGGGATATGTTCCAGGCTGGTAATTCTTGCGCACGTCGACACTTGCCACAACCCCAAAGCCAGTTTAGTGCTGGTTGTGGTCGACGTGGGTGTCCCAGGACGGCCAAGCCAACAACAACACCCACAACGCGTGCATGTCAAGGTCGGTGGGCTCTTCCCCGAGGGGCCCTCCAGAGAAATTAACGCAGTTGTGGCTGTGGTTCCTTGTCGCGCCTGGAGTGCCTCGAAGAGTCGGAGCAGATCGAGCTGCTCGAAATCTGCTTCGCTCGGCTGGACTGGTTGGCCTCGGAGGCCAGCTGGCTCCAGGGCTCCTCGGGGGACTGCGGCGTCGAGCAGCGCGAGGTGCCAAAGGACGGAGACGTCGCGCGCGTGGGCAGCGGGTGAACTGGCGGACCCCACGCGTCCAGGACAGGCACGGCGACGTGCACGCCGTTGACCAGCACGTCTGTAGCCACGGTTTGCACTACTCGCGAAAACGTCCGTTACCGGCACCGCGCCCCCCCCCTTCCCCCTCTCGTCAAGTTGCCGGCGCTTGACGCTTGGGCGCTTGCCGAACGATCCGCAGAAATCTGCGAGAACCTGATGGCGTCTGGGAGAATCCGGAAGAATCTGGACGAATATGGAAGAACCTGGGGAAATTCGGAAGAATCTGGAAGAATATGTAACAATCGATCATCACCATCATCATCATCATCATCATCATCATCATCATCATCATCATCATCATCATCATCATCATCATCATCATCATCATCATCATCATCATCATCCCCCCTCCTCCTCCTCCTCTTCCTCCTCCTCCTCCTCTTCCTCCTCCTCCTCTTCCTCCTCCTCCTCTTCCTCCTCCTCCTCATCCTCCTCGTCCTCTTCCTTCTTCTCCTCTTCCTCCTCCTCCCCCTCTTCCTCCTCCTCCTCCTTTTCCTCCTGCTCCTCCTCATCCTCCTTATCCTCCTCCTCCTCCTCCTCCTCCCTCCTCCTCCTCCTCCTCCTCCTCCTCTGCTCCTCTCCTCTTACTCCCCTCCTCCTCCTCCTCCTCCTCCTCCTTCTCCTCTTCCTCTTCTTCTTCCTCTTCGTCCTCCTCCTCCTCCTCCTCCTCCTCCTCCTCCCCCTCCTCCTCCTCCTCTTCTTCTTCCTCCTCCCCGAATGCGGACAACGACTATTCCGGAGAGTAAGACTAAGATTAATAGTACTGGTAAGAACACGAGCAATAACAACCATACTCACACAAAAGCACTAAAAACATGATTGGTAAAATAAGCAGAAAAAAACAGCCACATGAACTAAACATAGAAAGACAACAATGGAAGCCATGGAACCTGATAGGAATATGAACTTGGAAAAGGATAAGGATGAGAAGAACAACGAGCAGACTTACAATAATAGTAACGAAGCAATGAACATGAACACGACTGGAACTAATACTGCCACGAATACGCAGCATGCAAATAATACGAACAATGGCAATGCCACAAGCACATACAAATAACGAAGGGAATACAAAAAGACCAACACTAAGAACACGAATGATAAACATAATAATGGGACTAAGAATGAGACCTACGATAAACAAGACATCATGTATATGAAAAAGAAATAGAATACGAATAATAATGGCACGAACCATAACAATAAGACTCGGCATAATAATAGTAATGATGGTATTAAGCAGAATATGGATGCGACGGTAAATAACTAAAACAAATTAAGAATGGGAGTAGGCATCGGATCCAGAATTTGGAATATGAATACTAATGAAATGAGGACGAACACGAATACAAATGATGATCGTCATATCCAGGGAATCCGATCCAGAGGATTCAGATTGATAATCCGGCCCAAAGAATCAGATGCAGAGAATCAAATCCAAAGAAGCAGATCCATAGCATCATACCCAGAGAACCGTATCCCTATATCTATATATAGGTACATATTTATATGTAAACATACATGTTTACACCTACATATATATACATGTGTATTTATGTACGAATGTACATATATATGTATATACTTACATAGATAGATATTGCTTACGGATGTCCAATCCGACCCGGAACATGAAATACCACATCGAAACAAACAAGATCCGATATTAGCAAATACACCTGCACATATTTAGATACGCTCATAGAACACATACGTGTAAAGAAATTCAGATATATAGGGAAACAATTAGATACATCAGGATGCAATGCAATGGGGCTAGATGAATTTAGTCTGGCCCATAGAAAGAGAAGACAACTTAAAATCACATGTATCTTCAAACCGGGTGAGCAAACTTTCGACCATATAAACACAGTTCGGCAAATTTACAGAAAACCAGATAAACCTATATACGTTTCGATAAACAAAAAAACAATCACATCGAATACAAGGCAAACTATATATGGACAAGTGTACACAATTAGACAGGGGTAGATCGAGTTATATACGTTTAGATAAGTTCAAATCTGTATCCTGGGGAACAAATCGGTTACTGAGAATGCGAGGCAAACTTACAATCAAATGTACGTCGCTAATTCTACATGAATCCAAGTAGATTAATCAAGCTGTGCATGAATGTTAAGCCGTTTTAACAAATCTAGATCAACTGTTTGATAAATCTAAATCCGTTCATACTAATGTATACAAGTTCTGGAAATTTAAACACATTTAGAACAAATGAATCAACTTCAGGAAAAATGCAGCAGTCATCACAATATATAATAACATTTGATTGCTTTAGATAGCGATCGATCATTTTGGTCATATAAATATAATCAGGCACCTTTCGGTAATTCTGGAGGAATCTCGATTACTCGAATTTGATGCAGGTCGAATCCACTGAGGCAGGTCCAGCGAGTGATATAATGATTCAGATCCAGAATCAGATCCGTTAACTCACATCCCGAGAATCATGTCCAGACAATCAGGTCAGAAAATTACATCCAGATAATTAGATTCAGAAAACCAGGTCCATGTATATATATATATATATACACAAGATTTTAAGGCTCGCTGCGCTTCGCCTTCTAACCTTGATCCTTGCACCTACGATGTTTCTGGGCGCGGGCGAGAACACAATTGTTCAATGAGGTGTGTGGGAATTGTGCGAGCGGAGGCGAGGCGAGGCGAGTGCGCGGTAGCGCCCGGGGCGGGGCTCAGGGCGCAGAGTTGGTGGACGCTGGAGTGGAGGTGAAGGTGTGTCTTGTGGTGCCTTGGTGTCTTTGGGGAGCTTGGATATGAGTCTCAGATCTGGGGCCCTTCAGAAGGCAGCGCAGAAGCACGACAGCGAACTACAGGAGAGAGAGAGGAGCAGGAGGAGGAAGAGCAAGAGGAAGCCTTGTCGTAGGCCCGTGGTGGGGTCTTCTTGGACCGTCCAGGAGTCTCGTGGGTTCTTCAGGGGAGCTGGTGATAGCAGTCTGGGGTCTGGGGTATGTTTTAGTTCTCGCGAGTGTTCCGTGGGCTTCTGAGACGGAAGGAGAACTGCGCATCAAATTGTGGTTCTCCAGACCCTGGAAGCCTGTCTTGGGATCTCTTTGGGGCCCCCGAGGTGTGTCTTGTGGCGCCTTGGTGTCTTTGGGGAGCTTGGATATGAGTCTCAGATCTGGGGCCCTTCAGAAGGCAGCGCAGAAGGAAGACAGCGAACTACAGGAGAGAGAGGAGCAGGAGGAGGAAGAGCAAGAGGAAGCCTTGTCGTAGGCCCGTGGTGGGGTCTTCTTGGGCCGTCCAGGAGTCTCGTGGGTTCTTCAGGGGAGCTGGTGATAGCAGTCTGGGGTCTGGGGTATGTTTTAGTTCTCGCGAGTGTTCCGTGGGCTTCTGAGACGGAAGGAGAACTGCGCATCAAATTGTGGTTCCCCAGACCCTGGAAGCCTGTCGTGGGATCTCTTTGGGGCCCCCGAGGTGTGTCTTGTGGCGCCTTGGTGTCTTTGGGGAGCTTGGATATGAGTCTCAGATCTGGGGCCCTTCAGAAGGCAGCGGAGAAGGAAGACAGCGAACTACAGGAGAGAGAGGAGCAGGAGGAGGAAGAGCAAGAGGAAGCCTTGTCGTAGGCCCGTGGTGGGGTCTTCTTGGACCGTCCAGGAGTCTCGTGGGTTCTTCAGGGGAGCTGGTGATAGCAGTCTGGGGTCTGGGGTATGTTTTAGTTCTCGCGAGTGTTCCGTGGGCTTCTGAGACGGAAGGAGAACTACGCATCAAATTGTGGTTCCCCGGACCCTGGAAGCCTGTCGTGGGATCTCTTTGGGGCCCCCGAGGTGTGTCCTGTGGCGCCTTGGTGTCTTTGGGGAGCTTGGATATGAGTCTCAGATCTGGGGCCCTTCAGAAGGCAGCGGAGAAGGAAGACAGCGAACTACAGGAGAGAGAGGAGCAGGAGGAGGAAGAGCAAGAGGAAGCCTTGTCGTAGGCCCGTGGTGGGGTCTTCTTGGACCGTCCAGGAGTCTCGTGGGTTCTTCAGGGGAGCTGGTGATAGCAGTCTGGGGTCTGGGGTATGTTTTAGTTCTCCCGAGTGTTCCGTGGGCTCCTGAGACGAAAGGAGAACTGCGCATCAAATTGTGGTTCCCCGGACCCTGGAAGCCTGTCGTGGGATCTCTTTGGGGCCCCCGAGGTGTGTCTTGGCACCCCTGGTTGCTTTTGGGGAGCTTGTGATAAGAGTATGTGGTCTGGGGCTTTTGACGAGGCAGCGGAGGAGGAAGACAACGAACTACAGGAGGAGCAAGAGGAGCAGGAGGATAAAGAGCCGGAGGAGGAGGAGCAGCAGAAGGAGGTTGGGAGGAGATTTCCGAAGAGTTGGTGTCGAGAGTTAGGTTGGAACCTTCTTGGACTTTCTTGGGGATGTCTTCAGAGCCTCGAAGGAGGAGATTTCCGAAGAGTTGGTGTCGAGAGAGGAGGATCAGGAGAAAACCTCCTGAGAAAATGAGTATCAGTTTTCGTATCCCGGAGTCGGTGGAGGCAAATGAGGAGAGGGCGATGGAGGAGGAGGAGGAGGAGGAGGACGAGGAGGAGGAAGGCGACGAGTTCGAGGGAAGAAGGAGGTTGAGGAGGGGATGAGGGGCAGAGAGGGGGAAACGGAGGAGGAGGAGGTAGAGAAGGACGAGAGATGGGCTGTCGGACGTCCGAGTAGGTCATGCCGAGAGTTATCTTGGAACCCTCTTGGGCTCTAGTGGGGATGTCTGCAGGGCCTCATGTGCCGTCTTGGGGCGAGGTTGAGAAGAACTAGGGGCGATGGGGGGGGCCGCTCAGGTCAATCAGAGTGTAAAGAATTTGACGGCTCTAAGACTGAGTGGAGCTCCTGTTGGTGCTTTTGTATACCATCGGAGGGCCTTCTTGGGCTGTCCTGGGGCCCTCGTGGGCTGTCTGGGGGGGCTTGGGCCGTCCTGGGGCCGTGTTGGGGCTCTCTCGGGCCCTCTCTGAAGCATCCCGTGACTCTGTTGGAGCCCTCTTGGGGGTCTTTTAGGGGTCTCTTGGGCGCTCCCTGGCTTTCTTTGCGCTTTATTGACCCATCTTTGGGCCCCATTGGGCCGCCTGGAAGCCATTTCGGGGCGACCTCGGAAGCTCGCAGATCATTATTGGGCCGTTCGTGGCCAGAAAAAGGCGAGAAGCACAGAATCGTTCAAAAATAAATGGAAAATTAAGGTTTTTGGCCTGCTGAGGCCGTGTTGGAGGTCTTTGCGGGGGCATCCTGGACAGTCTTGAGCCCATGTTTGGTCCTGTTGGAGCACTATGGGGCCGTCTTGGGGCCTCTTGGGCCTTGCAGAGGACGTCTCGGAAGTGCCTTCTGCTGTCTTGGGCTCCCGATGTAGGCCTCGTGTCGCTCTCTTCGGGGTATTTTGGGCCGTCTCGAAGCATTGTGGGGCTCTCTTGGGAGCCTGTGGGGTTCATCTGGGGTCCATGTGGGGGGGGGTGTCGGTGATATGCCGGGTTTTTCCTTGTAATTTGATAGGTAGAAGGAATATATCGAATTCGTTCAAGCAAATTCAAGCTGCCGGGAGAAGGAATTCAGACCCCGACGCCCTCCTCTCCCCGTCCCAATCCCCCTCTTCCTCCTCGTCCTCCTCCTCCTCCTCCTTTTCCTCCTCCCCCCCCCTCTGTTCCTCCTCCTCCTCCTCCTTCTCCCCTTTTTCTTCTTCTTCTTCATAGTCTTCTTCCTATTATTAGTATTATTATTAGTCGGATTCCCCTTCTTCATGTTTGTTCATATCATTGTTGTCTTATGTTTATACGTGTTGTTATCATTATTCGTTCCATGAATATAATCATCCGTACTATTATATTCATACTTCCTCCCCCTCCTCCTCGTTCTCCTCCTCCTCCTCCTCCCCTCCTCCTCCTCCTCCTCCTCCTCCTCCTCCTCCTCCTCCTCCCCCCTCCTCCTCCTCCTCCCTCCCCCTCCCTCCCTCCCTCCCTTCCTTCCTTCCTTCCTTCCTTCCTTCCTTCCACACTTCCTTCCTTCCTTCCTTCCTTCCTCCTTCCCTTCCTTCTCCCTTCCCTCCTCCTCCTCCTCCTCCTCCTCCTCCCCACTTCCTCGTCCACCTTCTCCTTCTCCTGCTCCTCCTCCGCCCCCTCCTCATCCTCCTTCCTCCCTCCTCCTCTTCCTCCCCCTCTTCCTCGTCCACCTCCTCCTTCTCCTCCTCCTCTTTCCCTCCTTCTCCTTTTCCTCCTCTCCCTCCTCGTTGTTCCCTCCTCCTCCTCCTCCTCCTCTTCCTCCTCCTCCTCCTCCTCCTCCTCCTCCTCCTCCTCCTCCTCCTCCTCCCCCATCCTCTTCCTCCTCCTCCTCCGCCACCACCCCTCGTCATCCTCCTCTTCCTCCTCCTCGTCCTCCTCCTCCTCCTCCTCCCTCCGCCTCCTCCCCCCTCCTCCTCCTCCCCCTCCTCCTCCTCCTCCTCCTCCTCCTCCTCCTCCTCCTCTCCTCTTCCTCGTCCTCCTCCTCCTCCTCCTCCTCCTCCTCCTCATCCTCCCCCTCCTTTTCCGCCTCCTCCCCCCTCCTCCTCCTCCTCCTCCTCTTCCTCCTCCTCCGCCTCTTCCTCCTCCTCCTCTGGCGACGCAGGAAACCGAAACCACAATTGAGACGTATCATGACGTCCAGATCCGCGGCCCCCACCAGAAGAGGAAGCGAAAGGCGCAGAAAGAATTGCCCCGCGCAGTCGCCCACGCCGAACTCGCGAAGGGAGGCGGGAGGACAGACGGCGAGGGACAAGCGAAGCGGGTTCGCGCCACATCTGACGTCCGACCACTCCCCTGTTCCCAGTGAGCCACGTTTTGCCCTGAACAACGGGCCGAACGTCCAATCGGACCGGAATGCGCCGATGGCATCTGCACCGCTCGCCTCGCCGCCCATTGTCCGAAGGGTAAACGGGCCAGACTGGACCAGGACGCACATAGGTAGGGCGAGAATGGCTGGGCGGCGACGAACCCAGGGAGGAACGAGAGAAGTGTCATAAGCTTTCTCCGAAGGCGCAGAACACTTCCGAGAAGACGCGAGGGCTTCAGAGATGTCCCGCCGCCTTCTGAGAAGGCCTTCTCCTTCTCACTTGCCCCCCTCTCGCCGCCGATAGGAACGAAGAGGAACGGAGGCAGGAACACGCGGCAGAAATATAACGGGAAGGTGGGGGAATCGGCTCGAATAATAAACAGGGGCGGGAACATGAGGCAGGAGAAGGACGGAGAGGGGGCCGAAAAGCAAGCGCGGCAGCAGCAGGGAAACGGTGGAAGTGGGAACAGGACGACGACGAAAGAGACGGGATGAGAAAGGAAGGTAGCGCTGCTTTCCCGATGGCACGGTGGACAAATAGCGCTGTCCGCACCATGTCGCTCTGGCGCTCCAATGGTCAGCTGTCCATAACTATTTCATGCAGGAACTGAACAAGGTCTAGCTCGCCCGGCAGATTCTCCGCCTCCTCACTCCACCCTGCAAACCGCAGCGAAAGTTTCACAGTTCGCTGCCCCCCAGGGACGGCGAGGTCTAATCTGAGTCTGCCGGACGCGCCACCCCGTTGAACCCTCCAACGGCCCTCCAAAAAGGCCAGGGTTGCACAGCTCGCATGCCCCCAGGGATGGCGAGGTCGAATCTCAGTCCGCGTAGCGCGTCGCTCTGCTGGACCCTGCAGCAGCCCTCGAAAGTGGCGACGGTGTCACAGTTCGCAGCCTCCCAAGGATGGTGATGTCTAACCTGAGTCTGCGTAGCTCGTCATTCCGCTGGACCATCCAGCAGCCATCGAAAGTGGCGATGGTTTCACAGTTTGCAGCGCCCCAAGGACGGCGAGGTCGAATCTGAGCCTGCGCAGCGCGTCACTCCGCTGGACCCTCCAGCAGCCCTCGAAAGTGGCAACGGTTTCACAGTTCGCAGCCCCCCCCCAGGGATGGCGAGGCTGAGTCTGAGTTTGCGTAGCGCACTCCACTCGACCCTCCAGCAGCCCTCGAATGCAGCACCGGTGTCACAATTCGCAGCCCCCCAGGGATGGAAAAGGCTTAGACTGAATCTGCGTAGCGCGTCACTCCGCTGGACTTTTTTTTGGTTAGCGCCTGGTTCGGAGATAGCTCAAGACTGGGACGATGCACTGGCTGAAGCGCGTATGGCGGATCGGGGTCCCACGCGCACCGCAGAACTTAGCTGAAACACTAACTGCCTGGTTCGACTCTGTTGCGTCCCGCTTGGGCGCCCAGGCTGGCTGAAAAGGCCGGCCTGGCCACAAAACTAGAGGCGGATCTAGTTCAGATATGCCGATATGCCGACCTGAACGAATCAAACGGATCTGTTCTGACCACCGTGCACTGGAACCATACTTGGAAAATCTGCATGCCTTCTTCCCCCGCTCAACTGACGAGGGTGAGGGTGGACCTGGTTCCTGGAGCTGCATGCTCAGCAGCTGCTGCTTGGGGCGCTGGAGCTAACGTCTACAATGACTTGTAGTAGCGCGTTCAGCTCGGATTGCTGGTCGGCGATGATGGTGTCCATCATGCCCTTTGCCTTTCACAAAATCTGGTTGAGCATCAGGTGCAAGCTGTCCTGTAACAGAAATATTCACTGATACTCATGTCCACGACGGAATATTTCCTGGAGCCGTCCTCATCCTCAGGCTCGTCGAAAGCGACGCAATGATCCATGACAGGGGTCAACTTGACATACACCACTGCTTCCGGCTGGGTACCCTCGGAGGCGAGGCCGTCGCTCTCGATGGCAACTACGAGCTCGCTGGTCAGGAAGATCTGCTCGGAGTTGATATCCAAACAGTGGCTCGGCAGCTTCACCTTGTCGGAGTGGTCGCTGGACTCGTCAATGCTCGAGTCCCTTTCGCCGCAGTCGCTGGCGATGTCGAAATGCATCACGCGATTCTGGATCTGGGCGCTGGCGTTGTCGATGGTGGCGATGGCCCCATCGAAACTCATGAAGGACCCCCCCCCGAAACATCTTCCTTGGGGCTCTCCTCATTCTCAGGCTCGTCTAAAACGATGGTATGATCCATGACAAGGGGTAATATGATCATACTCCGCTGCTTTCGTCTGAGCGCCCTTGGAGGTGAGGCCGTCGCTCTCAATGGCCTCCAGGGGCTAGCTGGTATGGGAGATCTGCTCGGGGCTGCTGCTATCCAAGCAATGGCTCGGCAACTTCACCTTGTCGGAAGAGTAGCTGGATTCGTTGATGCTCGAGTCCCCTTCGACGCAATCTCTGGCGACGTCGAAGTGCATCACTCGGTTCTGGATCTTGGCGCTAACGTAGTCGATAGTGGTGCAGACCCCATCGAAGCTCGTGGCGCCAGAGTGCGCAACGTTCCCGCAGCCATCAGTCTCCATGCAGGCGGCAGAGAACTGGGGACTTGCGAAGTCCTGGGGCTTCATCTGAACGGTGACAGGGGTGACGCACGTCATCTGAACCGTCTGGTGGGGTTCGCCTTTGACGCCCTTTAGGCCCAGGGTCTGGAGGATCTCGTCCGCGATGACGAACGAGTGGCACTCGAGGGAGGCCCCTCTGGCTGTCCGGAGAACGAGCAGAGGGCTCTTGCTGGGGACCTCCATCTGTCCTCAACGTCTGGATTTTTCTCTACCTGATCTTGGCGGAACTGCTGGTCGCAAAGGTGCTGCTGGTTCCGCGCCTCAAGCCGCAGGCCGACGCTAGGCCGTTAAACGCCGGGACGAGGGGGGGTAACGTTCCAGGGGCCTCGCGCCGGAACACGAAACGCCTGAGCCCCACGTGGCTTGAGCTCCGCTGGACCCTCCAGCAGCCCAGTTCGCAGCCCCCCCGGGATGGCGAGGTAGGAGGCAGGCTGGCAGGCAGATAGGAGACAAGTAACAAGAAGGCGCAGGTCGGAGACATGTAGGAGGCAGGAGAGCGAGGCAAGAGGCAGAGGGAGAGAGGAGGAGGAGGGAGGCGGGAATATTGTTGGAGATGCTAGAATTCCATGCAAAACGAGAACCCAACGCAGGAGGGCTTGGGAAATATGTCTCCTGGGGCATCGGCGATGTCCTCGTCGTTGAATATGGGCACTGGTGGGGCGTGGAGCACGCGCGGCTGGAACGTGTCCGCGACCTGCAGGTCGCCAGCGGCCCGCGAGGAGACGGTCGATAACGTGTCCCCGCACGGCCGATTCCGCTGCAGGCCGCCGTCGGAGCTCGCCGAGGAGATCTGCCGGTCGGGCGAGTTCGTGTGGCTCATCCAGGATGTTTCCTCCCCGGGGAAGCTCGCGCCATGGACAAGCTCAGGACGGGAGGTGCGCGTGGTTTTCTTCGGCCCCGGGGGGCCCTCGCGGGGCCCTGGGACTTGGGACCGTCAAGGGCGGTGCCCGCTCCTGTCCCCCAGGGCAGGTCAGGTTTTTCATCCCAGGCCGACTCGGGATGAGAAACCGTCCCCGGGGAAATGGTCGGGGCTTCGGGGATTGCGCATAGCAGACATCAGAGCAATGGATGTCAAGGCCACAAAGCAGCACGGCACACCGATGCCCGGTGCCCCATGGCCTCCAAAACGTTCTCGCCCGTCCAGGAGGAGCTAGGCGGGAGGAGGCGAAAGAGGAGGAGGAAGAGGTGGAGGCGGGAGGAGGAGGAGGAGGAGGAGGAGGAGGAGGAGGAGGAGGAGGAGGAGGAGGAGGAGGAGGAGGAGGAGGAGGAGGAAGAGGAGGAGGAGGAGGAGGGCCGCCCGGAGGGTCCCCTCGTCGCCACGACCAGACTCGCGCAAGAATCAAGGCCAGAACGCCCTCTGGGAGAGGCCTGGGGAGAGGTTGCGTCCCTCGTCCCCCGCGGCGTATGGCGTTTTTTGTGACGTCGGCCCCCCAGAGAACTCGACCCCCTTTCCCCCGGGGCCGGGTTCTCATCCCGAGTCGTTATGTTGACGGTCCTCAGGCAGGGAGGCGTCCATCAGAGGAAGGAGGCGACGAAATGCTATAGCGAACTGCTTCACGCCGCCTGGATCTGAAGGACCCGTGCCCCCGACGTCGTGATGGTGTTTATGGCGTCGACCCTCAAAGGTCTCGATCCATTCCCCGGGACCGGCTTTTCGTTCCGGAGTCGCTTTTGGAAGGCCCCTTAGCCCAGCGAAGGCCCTAGGAACCAAGATCAACCAAACACCTCCCGTCGTGATGTTCTTTATGACCCTGTATGGGGGATCTGGGGATGGGCATGATTTTGCGCGTCCCCCCTGATGCTCCTTGATCCAGGGTAGCGGCTCGACGTCTTCGGGGGACCTGCACAGCCCCACCAGCTTCTCCGGGCAACTGGAGCTCCTCTCGTCAGCTCAGAAAGGGGGCCCAAAGGGATTGGGGCCCCAAGAACGAGTGTCCTCAATCCCCAAAACCCCCTCGCGTCGTGAACAATAATGCAACGGCAGGTTTTCGGCCACTCTCGGACTCTGGGGTCTCGCCTGTCCCCGGGACCGCCAAAAACAACTCGGGATGAAAAACCAGCCCCTGGGAAGACGGATCGAGACCTCCAGGGGCCCACGTCATCAACAAAAGTCATGACGGCGGGGGCCTTGGACAAGAGGAGGACAGACTGCATACTCCAGATTTCGTAATAAAGGGAGGGGGGTCTCATTTCGGGGGGGGGTCTCTTCCAGGCTATCTTGGAGGGCCTGGGGGGGTCTGGGGACGATGTTTTGGAGGGTTCTCCCACGGGGGAGGTCTGAAATGGCTTGTCTTGGAGGGTCCAGACCCCCTCCCTTCTATTACGAAATCTGGAGTATGCATCAACGTTCGAGGGTCTGCGCGGCGACCCTGGCGCCGGCCAGTGGCGCGCGCCGCACACCAGGGAGGAGGGGGTCCAGCGCCGCTCCAGGACATCCGCGCGGACCTCGTAAAGGTCATGCTTCTGCCTTCTTGTCTTCTCGACGTTCCCGTCCTTGGGGCCCTGGCCCTCAGGAGCCTGTCGTAGAGAACTGCTGCTTAGCTAGGGGGCCACATGCGAGCCCTACCCCTACCCCCCACGATTTCCGAGGGGGAGGGTGGGGTTCACTTCGTCCGGGAGCTCGCGAGCGAAGCGAACCCCACCCTCCCTCTCGGAAATCGTGGGGGGTAGGGGTCGGGTTCGCATGTGGCCCCCTGTTAGCGTCTCGCGGCGGCGGCCCCGACGACACGCCTACGCCATGCAAGTGGATGGCGCGTCGCTCCGCTCCATTGGGGCGGGAGGCGCAGGAAGGCTCGTCGGGACGTTGAGGCCTGGAGCCCAGGCCGTGTATATACAGTCAAGACGTGCATTGAGGACGGGTGGTAAGGACACAGGACCCTGCGGATCTGAGACCTTTACCGGCAGACGCGGCAGACCCCCCTGCACGTGAGAAAAAGATTGGTTTTGAAAACGAGCGTTCGAATCTCTCAGAATCTCCAAAAAAATCGACCCCAGGTCATCACATTGTCCGCCCGGGTGGGCCAACTGAGAGCCAGCGAGGCCGAACTTGGGCTTTTCTGGGCGGCGGGCGATCAGCGAAGACGGCAAAGGGCGGGCCGCAGGGGCAAGGACACGAGAAGGAACCCATAGATGAAGTCGCGCGTCCATACTAGGCGCGCCGTGTTGCGAGTCGCGCCGAAGCGTGGTGGACCAGAACCAGCGGCACGACACACTAAGCCAAAGTTCCTGACCACGCATCTTCCAGCCACCGATCCTCGAGTGCCGCCGCGGCCGCCAACGCTCCTGGAGCTGCAGCGTGGCCTGCGGCGCGGACTGCGCCCAGCACCGTGGACCTCCGCGCGCCCGGGCCAGCCCGAAGTCGGTGACTTTCGCGAGCGGGACGTCGTGGAGGCTGGTCACCTTCGATGAGGAAATGTTGCGAGGAAGCTCCTGGAGGCCTCGCGCGGCAACTTGAGACCCGATGTACGTCGGATCCACGTCGGATTTACGCCGGGTTCACGTCGGACTACGTCGGAGCTGCGTCGGATTTAGGACTGATTCCGGAGCATCGCCGCGCCGCGAGCGTCGATCCATGGCTTACGGAGCTGACCCATGGACTAGATAACACTACTGTTACGCGCCGCGCGAGGCCTCCAAGGTTTTCCTCATCGAGAAGGGCACCGATGCCGCTGCCCTCGCGTCGTGGAACAACCAGGGCGGGAGGCTGACTTCCCGCTCCGGTGGCCCTCGCCGGGCCCCTGGACCGTCAGCAGAACGGCGCGGGATGGGGCAGCGGCCCCTGGGAAAAAGTCGGGGCTCTTCCGGGGACCCCGTACGGAACAAATCCTGCTGTTACATCCGCGGGCGCTTGAGCTACATGTACGAATTGAAATCATGTTGAGGAAGAACAGGATGGGACTTAGGCAACTTAGCTCGTTACCTGTTTGAAATGTTGCATGATCTTGGGTGGGGCCAAATCCTATTTCAGAAAGATTCCATAAACTCTGAGGCTATGAATGCGTCGAGCTATTTTCCGCTGAAGTATCACGAGGGGGCGTCTTTTTGCTCAAAGTCGGGCCTGTGCGGGAGGCCCACGACTGAAGGGAGACGGGCACGGAGGGGGGAGCAGGGAGGAGAAGGAAGAGGAAACTTGTGACCAAGTTCTCGTGGATAATCTAGTCACAAGGGTTCGTGGTCGCGCGCGACGCGCGTGCGAGATTCAGATTGCTATTCGGGTGAATGTACCTCAGTATTTCTGCGTTTGCCTCAAACGTTTTCATGTTTTGGCCGCTTGGGGTATTTCGGGGTTGGTTTGATGATTTTCTTCACGAGGGCGGAAGATGTACTGTCTCGGGTCGCGGGCCATGTATTGGGGCCGTATTGGGCCATACTGGGGATATCCTCATGGAACCCTCCCCCTGTTCTTCCTCCTCCTCTTTATCCTCCTCTGATTCCCTCGACCTGTATCCTTCTTGGCTCCTCCTCGACCCGTGTCCCTCTTACCTCCCTCCTCCCTCGTCCCTCCCCTTCCCTCCCATCCTCATCCCACCCTCCCCAATGCTGAGCCTTCGCAGGCGTCGGGGCACAATTGTATAACGCTCTCGGTCGCCACATCCTTCTCCTCTGTAGCAGCGCGGTTCAGGCCCGCATTCGCGGCTCCGCCCGCGTTCGGTCGCTGTTTTTCTTCTCGGCGCACAGGGCGGAGCGCGATGGCCGACGACGCCGACGCCCGCCAGCGCAGTCGGCTCGTTTTCCCCGACTACCCTGTGGGCGTCCCTCGGCGGGGCGTCCCTTGGCGATCCCCCCCCCCTCCCCCCCTCCCCTCCCCTCCCCCTGCCCCCCCCTCCACTCCCCCTCCCCCACCTCCTCTTCCTTTTCCTCCTCCTTTTTCTCCTCCTCATCTTCCGCCTCTTCCTCCTCCTCCTCCTCCTCCTCCTCCTCCTCCTCCTCCCGCCTCCTCCTCCTCGTCCTTCTCCTCCTCCTCCTCTTCCTCCTCCCGCTGCTCTCCTCTCCTCTCCAGGGCCTGGGCGACGAACGCTCCGTTCCAGCGCTGGACGAGGAGGCAGCAGGGGCAGCGCGATTGGATGATCGAGATCGAGCGTCATTGCGCGATGTGGTGGGGCATGCCTCACGCGCCGTGGTGGCCAGAGTTCGTGGTGGAGGCCCTCTGTGCAGAGCTTGGCCAGTTGCTCGCCGTCGTCTCACACCAGCCGCCGACGCCAGCAGCCGACGCCAGCAGCCTACACCAGCAACCTACACCAGCAGCCTACACCAGCAGCCTACACCAGCAGCCGACCCCGAGTCGACGCCGCCGACGCCAGCAGCCGACGCCATCAGCCGACGCCAGCCGCCCGAGCCAGCATCCGACGCCAGCCGCCGACACCAGCAGCCTACAGCAGCCAACCCTCCATCGGCGCCGCCGAGCCAGCGGCCGACGCCAGCTGCCAGCACCAGCAGCCTACAGCCAGCGGCAGTGGGTGGCGACCGCCGCAGATGCATCGGCGTCCTTCGCGCAGGCGGCAGGCGGGGTGCCCGCGGCGGAAGCCGCGACCCAGACGTGCAGTGGCATTCGCTCCACGCGCAAGCCGAGCGCGAAGGGGGGATCCATGAGTTCAGGGCGCTCTGCCCGAAGCCAGGGCCCAGTTAATCATTGGACCGCCCGCCGCCTCAGGCAGCTTCTTAGGCCGTCCGCAGCAGCTCGGCGACGGGCCGCCTCCTTTGCCAACATGCGCGTCGGTTGGCAGATCGTGCGCGGCAGCTGGCAGGCTGCGCAATGTGCTTGTTGTCACCCGTTGAGACGGTAACCCGTCATCGACATCATCACCCATCCCCACCTGTATCTTCACCGACTCCTTCGCAACCGCCGCTTCGGGCCTCGGCTCACGGATGGGAACTTGCGCATCTGAAAGCACGGCTCTCGCCCGATACCTCCTCAAACCGAAGACAGCTGCGCCCGGCCGTGGCGACGAGGGGCCCCCCCGAAGATATCAACAGCCGTTGTCTCCACTCGCCCTCATCGGACGTTTGCCCCCCCCGTCGCCGGCTCGTGGAGGAGCACGTTCAGGCTCTTCAGGTCGCGGTGCATGATCTGGGGCGTCTGCCGGTGCAGGTAGGCCATGCCCTCCGAGACGTCCTCGGCCAGCTTGAGCTGCTGCCTCATCAGGGGCAGTTGTGCTCGCGCTTCGCGCTGCGCGAAGAGCTTCGCGCTCCCGCGCCCCTCCACCCCCGGGGGAGGAAGGGAGGCCGCGGCAGATGAGGAGAAGGATGAAGAATCCCGAAGTGCGAGCCGCGAGTGACTTCGCACCCCTGGTGGCGGCCATTGCCTCATGGAGATCTGGCGCTCGGAGAGGTGCAGCAGGTTGAACAGCGCACCCCCTCGGCAGAGCTCCAGCACCAGATCGAAGGTTGGGCCGCCATGGCAGAAGCCCAGCAAGCGAACCTTGGGATCCGGGCATCGCATTTGTTTCACACCGTGCGCTTTTGCCAAGTGTCGGGCCCCAGGACCCTCACAGTTCGATCCAGCTTGAAACACTGCCCAGACTGAAAAAAGTCTAGGGCTCCAGCCGTGCTTTCCCGCGGTGTTGAAACTGTTTCGCAATGTCGGATCTCAGGGAGCCAAGTTCGGGTGCTCGTTGCGCGCCATCACGCTGAGCTCCCGCATGATGACGACGTCCATCGCGTCGTCCACCGGCTGCTGCTTGACCGCCACCTCCGTGCCTCGCCACGAGCCGTAGAAGACCTCCGCAACGGACCCCGAGCCGATGCTCTCCCCTGCGACTTGGAGGCGGCTGGGGGACTGCACTGGCTGGGCCCTAGAGAATCGGTCAGAAGGGGGGATTACGGCAATTCTGGTCAATATCAATCGCCGGGCCCCTCTCAGGGTCCATCCGGACTAGTATTTCCACTCTGGATCGATCTCGGACAGGGCCTGGACCAGTCATGGGTCACCTCAGCCCCCCAGCTGGCTCCAGCCTAGGACCAGCTCGTCGCGGCTGATCAGCAGGTCCGCGCCGAAGACATTCACGGCGAGGTCCACGTCTGGCTTCCTCCTCATGGCCTGCGCCAAGCACCTGTCCTGCAGCAACGGCGCAGGCACCTGGAGCCGCGGATCGTACCTGGAGATTGCACGGCTTGGGATGGGGACAACCGTTGGCAAGGCCTCGGGTTGCGCAATGACGGCGCCCCCAGGCAGTCCCAGCTGGCCTCAACAGGCCCCCCAGGCAGTCCCAGCTGGCCTCGCCAGGCCCCCCGAGTGGCCCAGGCGGCCGCACCCTGGCGGTGCCCCTGGACAGCTCCGCGACCCAGGGTTGGGGTGTTGAGACCGCCCGGGTCCACTCGGGGGGCCTGATGATGCCAGCTGGGACTACTCGGGGGGCCTGCTGAGGCCAGCTGGGACTGCCTGGGGGTGCCGTCATCGCGCAACCCGACGCCCGCCCGTGAAACGCATGGGCACCCCGCCCGTGGAACGCATGGGCACAACAAGACCCGCAGACTTCTCGAGCCGACCCCATGCGCGGGACCGATCCTGGTGGAAACGGGCCCTGGACTTAGGTCGGGCGTGTCCTCCCTCCTACGGGCGGATTTTGGAGGACAATTTCAGAATATCCGAAAAAACCAAACAGAGTCAAAACATAGCCAAAATGTCGCCCCCAGACTATTGTTTACGATTTTGGAAATATTCCTCCTCTAGAGGGACACGCCAGGCTTAATCCTAGGGTTCGCTCCTCGGCCCGACGCCTCGGCCCGCGGGGCATCCGGGATGGGGGCCACGTGCAGAGCCTGGAGGCGAGAGAACAGCTGTGCCGAGGACCCCTCTCGTGGCGGGCCCCTCTTCACTCCACCTCCTCCTGGTCCTCACCCTCTTCCTGCTACGGTCGGGGCATTTTTGTTTCTCACTTCAAGGGCCTGGTTACACGTCGGTCGGAAGAAGTAGGTCGAAACATGAAGTAGGAAGGCGGACAAAGTGGATTGGGTCCAGGCCCTCCCAGAGAATAACAAAACACGTCAAAAGTATGTCGATTCTTGAAGTAGGAAATAGGAAGGCGCTTGAAGTAGATTGGGATCTGGGAATCCAGAAGTACCTACTTTCAACGGCTGGCCTGGTTACCGCGTCGAGCTCAACTGCAGAAGGCCGCCCAAAACAGAGGTATGCACGGCCCGCAGGCAGGACCCCCACGGCCCCCCGAGGCAGCGATGATCTGCGCGCCGTCCGCGGGCCCTCGGGCCTGGGGTCCACTGCCTGGGGCATTGGATAAGGAACCCTTCGATAAGGAATCCAGGGTCCGGAGAACGGTGGATCTCCAATCGTGGATCGGCCATGGACATCGCCGCCGCCCTCATCAGAGAAGGGGCCCTCCAGGGTACGAGGCCTCCGGGGCACGATCCCTCACGAACGCCCCCACCGTATGCACGTAACTCTCCTTATCAGATTCCGCAAACCATGATGGGGTCTCTTTGGAGTTCCGGGCCCGTTGTGACACGCGTCCGCGTACTTGGGCCCCTCTTCCCTCTCGAGCTGACTGGCCCGAGACGGGACCAACACGCCGCACGTCCCGACATCCGACGGCACGTCTTTTCGTCCTTTGGAGCGCAGAAGACTTTAAACCCCCGCCAACGGGGGGTCTCTTCGCCCTGATCGCCACGTGAGGCCCAGAAGCGAAGCGCGTCGGGACTGAGATGACACATCCTTTTGATATGCTATCGGAGCCCCCCACAGAAGGATGCTGAGGGCTTCCTGGGATCAATGGGGCATAATATTAGTAACATGGATGGGCGGTCCACGGCAAGAGTATGTATGCATGCAAGGGCAGGCGAAGGCAAGAAAGGGACACAGTAGGGAGAAAGAGGGCGGCTGTTCAGGCAGCTCTTCCGTCCTTCTTCGGGTCCTACCCGCGGGTGTTATTGGGGAAAGATGGGTTGCTCTTAGAAGCATTTTCCTTTGGGAAGGTTGCCCAGCTCTGCGCCATCCCTGGACTCTTCCCTGGGTTCGGAAGGGGCTCCCGTGAGCGGTCCGAAGGCTGAATATGGCCCAGCAAAGCTCCAAGAGGACTCAAGATTGATCCTGATGGCCTCCCACATGGCGCAACATAGTTCGGCTTGCTTCAGGATGGCCTTCACGCGCTCCCAGAAGTCATCAGCCGTTGCCCGAAGATGGCTCCAAGTGCTTCCGGGCTGTCCGGAAAGCCTTCGGAAGCAGCATCCGCAACGTGCGGGGCCTCTGTGGGCTGTGCCTCGCTGGCACCGTGGTGGGGCCTCTGTGGGCGCGCTTGGGCTTCGGCCTCCCCCCTGGGGGCGCGGGGGGGGGGGCAGGAAACCTGAGCACGGTATGGTGTGCCGATGCCCCTGCCGCGATCCGGCGAGGCCTCCCTGGAGGGGCGGGCGGGGCAGGAAACCTGAGGCACAGAATGGTATGCCGATGCCCCTGCCGCGATCCGGCGAGGCCTCCCTGGAGGGGCGGGATACACTGCCGCGACCTGGCGGGCCTCCCTGGAGCGCGAAGCTGTGTGCATACTCTTGTTCGGGAACACCCTGCTCGCTTTGGCGGGGCCTCCCTGGAGGGGTGCAAGGGGCACGACACTCTGTTCCCTCTGGCGAGCCTCCGTGGAAGGGTGACAAGAGCACTAAACCATGTAAGTAGGTTGGTGTGCGAATACCCTGCTCAATCTGGCGTGGCCTCCATGGAGGGGTGGGCGGGGCACGAAACATTGTAATTCATATGGCGTGGGAATACCCTGCTCGCTCTGGCGGGGTCTCCCTGGACGGGTGGGAGGAACACGAAAACGTGTAAATAGTATGGTGTACGCATTCGCTGCTCACTCTGGCGGGGCCTCCATGGAGGGGTGCGACGGGCACGAAACATTGTAAATCATATGGTGCGAATGCCCTGCTCGCTCTGGCGGGGGCTCCATGAAGGTGTGGGAGGGGCACAAAACATTGTAAACACGTATTGTTTGCGCATGCCCTGCTCGCTTTGGCGGGGCATCCTGGGATGGGTGCGACGGGCACGAAACCTTGTACATATGTGCGAATACCCTGCTCGCTCTGGCGGGGCCTCCCTGGAGGGGTGGGAGGGACACGAACCTTGTACATGACATGTGTGCGGATGCCCTGTTCGCTCTTGCGGGGCCTCCCTGGAGGGGTGGGAGGTGTTCAAAATTTGGAAAAGAGCATGGTGTGCGAATGCCCTGCTCGCTCTGGCGCCCCCCCAGGAGGATGGAAAGCACCAAGCGATGTAAATCATATAATGTGCGGATGCCCTGTTCCCTCTGGTGGGCCACCCCTGTAGGGTTGGAAACGGCCCAAAACCTTGTAATGAACATGCTGTGCGCATGCCGTGCTCGCTCTGGCGGGGCCTCCCTGGAAAGGTGGGAGCGTCACAAACAAAACGGTGTAACAAACATGGTGTGCGAGTGCCCTGCTCGCTCTGGCGGGGCCTCCATGGAGGGGTGTGACGGGCACGAAACCTGGTACATGGTATGGTGTGCGAGTGCCTTCTCGCTCTTGCGGGGGCTCCCTGGATGGGGTGGGAGGGGCACGAAACACCGCAAATCGCATGGTGTGCGAGTGCCCTACTCGCTCTGGCGGGGCCTCCTTGCAATTGTGGGAGGGGCGCGACACCGTGCCAGCAGCATGGTGTGCGAACACCCTGCCCGCGCGGGCGGGGCATCCCTGGAGGGGTGGGAGGTGCACAACATCACGTGCAGATCATGGTGTGCGAATGTCCTGCTCGCTGTGGCGGGGACTCCCTGGAGGGGTGGGAGGGGCACGAAGCATTGTACACAATATGGTGTGCGAGTAGCCTGCACGCTCTGGCGGGGACTCCCTGGAGGAGCGCGGGAGGGGCACGGTGCACGGCAAATCCGCCCGCCCCCTTGTGAGGGCACCAGGCAGTAGGACGAAGTTGCTGATCCCTGCGCCAGTTGCAGTTTCAGGTCTCCCATGTTGCAGTCCTGCTTTCTGCTTCCTGTTGCAGATGGTTGAAGTCCGCGCGAGGGGGAGAAGCCCCAAACCAGCAATTTACCACGCCCGGATCGCGTTGCCTGAATTCCTTGGGGGGCGTGGGACACGTAACACTACTTGAGACTCGCGTCCCCGAAGCCATAATCCGTAGTAATGTACGCAATGTTTGCGTCCCCGAGGCCAGTAACCCTTGCAAATTATACAATGCTTGCACTCCCGAGGCCACAACCATTTTTAACTTACGCAATATTCGCGTCCCCGAGGCCAGACACCCTCGCAAATTGCGCCGTATTCGCACTGCCGAGGCCAAGAGTGCTCCAAGGCGCCCGAAGGTAGTTCCAAGATGGACCAAGAGGGCCCAAGAGGCCCCAAGAGCGCTCCAAGAGGCATCCCGAGAGAGCCCCAAGAGGCCCAAATCATAGATTTCCCCCCCCCAAAAAAGTGCTCGAAGGATTTGCGGCTTTCCGACGCTCCAGGACGGCTCAAGAAGCTCCAAAAACCGCTCCAAGACAGCCCCCAAGAGGGCCCCAAGACGGCTCAAGAGGGCTCCAAGATTGCCCAAGAAGTGCTCAAGACGGCCTAAGGGGGCCCCAAGACGGCCCCAAGAGGCGCCCAAGAAGGGAACCACGAACCGAAACTTCTATATTTGTGGCCCGGGAAGCCCCCAGGCCCCAGGAGGCCGCCAAGAGGCCCCAAGAGGCGCCCAAGACGCGCCCAAGAGGCCTCCAAGAAGCCCAAAAGATAACCCGCGAGGCCCCAAGAGGTCCCAAAGAGGCGCCCAAACCGCCTCCAAGAGGAGGCCCCCGACAGGCCCCCTCCCCACGACACCCCAACACATATACAAGGGGCTTCAGACCCACAACCCAGGCACGGTGGCGGGATGGGCCGAAGGCCGGCTAAGATGGCCCCAAGATGCCTCCAAGACGGCCCAATATGCACCCACGACGGCCTAAGATGACCTCAAGATGGCCCAAGACGACCCAAGAGGCCCACAAGAGGCCTCCAAGACGGCCCAAAAGGCGTCCAGGAGGTTTTCCAGGAGGGCACGAAGAGGCCAACATCATTGATTGTCCTAAGGTTTTGAAAGATTTTGTCATTTACTTCTTCTCGGCATTCCGACGGCTCAAGACGGCGCAAGAGGCCCCCAAGACCGCCC